ATTGTTTAGATTGTAGTTTTTGGGTTGTGACACTGCATAGTTATGTTGGTAGATAGTGGCTGTTCCAAAGATTATACTTCCTCCACATTCAAGGCTTAAGTTTGTAGTCCATGATTTATTTCAACCGTCTTCCAGTGCCTACACTCATCTATCTCACTCCTCTCTCTCGCACTACATGTTTCGGCATAAAAGTGCCATCTTCAGGTGCTTATTCGATTTACGTTAAACTAGTTCACTGCATGCCTTGCCGTCTTCATATTGAAATAACTAAAATATATATTTATCATATATATTGATAAATATTAAATGTTAAAAATATTAAAATTGTTCAGGATTTTTCATCCCTATGTCATATCTCACTACGCGAGGCACACCTATCCTCTTCTGTCGGAGCACTCTTTCTACTTTCGTGTGTGTATCTGTAACGTGAATTTGTTATTCATTAATACCGCGTTCCGTATTTTATTTATTACTTGTGGTATTATAATTTTTAATACTCACTGTGCTTTGTGTTGTGTCTTGCTCCTGTGACTGCGTGTGTTATACTGCTGGGCCTGCTGGGTATGTGTGTGTGTGCTGTCTTCGTTTTGATTGAGTTATGATGTTGTGGGCATAGATGTGGGGGTAGGTGGTGGGGTGTTGTTATGTTGTTCTGTGTAGATAGTGTTTAATTCGTGGTATATTGGGTTATATATTTCTTTATTTATATTATTCATGTGTGTGTTTTTCTTTGTCATTCTATATATATGGTAGTTCTCCAGTGTGTTCAAGTATTGCCCCTACCTACCTGTTGCTATGATATCCATAGTGTTTTCTATAGTACCATATACATGTCCTGTGTTTAATATGTGTTCTGAGTATCCTGTATTGTTGTTATTGTGTCTTATGTCATGTATGTGTTCTTTATATATGGTATTAAATTTCCTCCCCATTTGTCCTGTATATTCCTTGGGGCAATCTAGGCATCTCATACTATATATGCCGCTATTGTTATATTTATTTATTTCTAGTCTTGATTTTAGTATACGAGTATGTTGTAAATTGTTCTTAGTTCTAAATGCTATTTTTAATTTTGTGTCTCGAAATAATTTTGTGATATTTCTTGTTTCTTTTCCTATATATGTGAATGTTGCCCATTTCGTTTTTGTTCTTTGTTCTTCTGAATCCTCTGTAATGTTCTGCTTTTTTGCAATGTTTTGTTTTCTGTTATTTGTAGTTAGTTTTGTAATTATATCTGTGTTGTACTTGTTATTTATGAGTATGTTGTTTATAGTTTCTATC